AAGTGGAGAAGGAGTTCCTATTTCTGTAACACTGCCACAGTTTTCAAGGGCATCTATCCATCTCTAAGTAACGTCTACTGTGATTTTCTCCTTTTGGCTCACACACTGCGAAGTCTGCCCCGTGCAAGGAACTCTTCACTGGACACCGCTACCCTCTCTGCACCTCCTGCTACTCACTATACCCGCAGGATTTCAGCACTTCTCTGCTGCCCGGGACATTTGGTGATCGTCTCGAAACTTTCCCCTTGTGTCTGTGATGCTTCACTTCCATCCCTCATCTCTCTACTTCCAAGGCACTGCCTGTTTCCAGAGTGGTTACTCTGTGTGTGCCTGGGGCGATTTCTAGTGCTGCTATACGAATTGTAAAGCCCATCTGGCCTCTTGGGATTGCAGCCCTTTTCTCCCCAGATTTACTTTTTATAGACGCAACTACAAATCCTGGCCCTGTCCTTCCTCGAAAGACTAATCTTCTCCTTATTCCCGTTTATTAAGCCTAAGCTGCTAAGTTTGGAATTCAAGCCCATCTTGGCTTTAGCTATCACTTTGGCTTTATCCCAGCCTTTTTTTTTTTTTGGTACTGGGAGTTGAACTCAGGACCTTGCGCTTGCCAGGCAGATGCTTGTGCCACTGAGCTATATCCCCGGCCCTTCATTTTGGCTTTATATCCCATCACTTCTGACAATTTTTCTGGATTACCTGTACTATTTGATGAGCTCAGAATTATCTGGTACTTTCTTGCCTGCCAAAGGCAGAGGCCCAAGAATGAACAAACCTGGGCTGGGGATGTTGTTCAGTGCCTCCCTAGTATGAGCAAGGCCTTGGGCTTGATGCCCAGCATCAAATAATATACAATTATCTTAGGCCTCTTGCCTTTTTGCAATGCTGTATGCTATCTCATTAGGCCTCTGCTACAATTCGGGTATGATGCTCACCTGTAATCCTAGAACCTAGGAGGCTGAGGCAGGAGGATCTCCACAACTTTAAGGCCAGAATGGACTACACAGTGAGACCTTCTAAAAAAAACAAAACCCCCAAACACCTGCCCCCAAAACAAAACCAAACAAACCCCAAATGAAATGACACCTAAAAGCTCCCCAAGAACCTCTGATAATAGAAATCCTACTCATATCTCAAGCAATAGTATACTGGCATGGGGATTAGAGTATTTTGTTTTAGCTGCTGAGGACTGAACCCAGGGCTTTTGCACTGAGCTACATCCCCAGACCTTATTTTGAGACAGGTTTTACTAATTTTCTAAATTCCCCAGGCTGGGCTCGAACTTGAGATCCTCTTGCCTCAACCTCCCCAGCATCTGAGATTATAGGTGTGCACCACTGCCCCCTTTTCCATGTTTGTACTTAATGACAAGGAAGTATGCTATGGAATTCATTTTTCTTCTTTCTTTTGGGTGGTAGTGGTCATTAAACCCAGGGTTTTGCACACGGTAGGCAAGTGATCTATCACTGAGCTCCAATCTCCAGTCCCTTTTATTTATTTTTGACATAAGACAGGGTCTCATTTTGTAATCTAGGCTGGCCTTGAACTTGTGGCAATCCTCCTGCCTCAGCCTCTTGAGTAGCTGGTATTATGAGTGCGTACCACTGTGCCCCTGGCTCTGAAATTCATTTTTTTTTTTTTTGGTACCAGGACTTGAATTCATGACCTCACACTTGCCAGGCAGGTACTGTGCCGCTGAGCTAAATCCCCAGCCCTGAAATTTGTTTACTGTCAACAGTACCTGTCATAAAACATGTTTAATAAACATTATTTGTTGAAATGAATTAAAGAACTTCATTTTTTAAAAATTGCAGCAAAAATGTTAACGGTAGGAGAAGAAACAGGCTCTGCAAAGCGAGTTTGGGCCAAGTAAAAGTAGGAAAAGAAGTACGCCCTGCAGCATGAGGGTGGGCACCGCGCAGGAGCGAACATAGTGGCCAGGAACCTCAAAGTTTGAAAACAGTCAGATAAATCAGCGAATCTTTTTGGGAGGCAGACTATGGCTCAAAAACTGTTCCCTTGTTGGATGCTTTGAACTATTCTTATCAGACCTATCTAGATAAAAGGGGGAAGTACAGAGTCTTACCACTCTTCTTCAGAAGTTCTCCTTTTCGGGATTTGTCCAGGTTTTCAAGAAACTGTTCGAATACTTTCACGTAAGGTGCTAGACTGGTCCTCTTATAATCTAAATTGTGAAGCATGTACGCTGTAATTAGCAATGTTGGCAGCAAGAGTAACATAAGAATATAACTTTTAAGTTTCTTGTAAGAATTTTTTTTTTTTTTTTTGAGACAGGGTCTTCTTCTTTTGGTACTAGGAATTGAACTCAGGACCTCACACCTGCCAGGTAGGCACTGTGTCACTAAGCTATATCTCCGGCCCTTAAGACAGAGTGTTGCTATGTAGTTCAGACTGACCTTGAGCTCATGCTGTTGCCCAGGTTGGCCCTGAACTCCCAGAGATCCTCCTGCCTCAGCCTCCCAAGTGGTGGGATTACAGGTGTACACCACCACCCTTAGCTCTTTTTTTTTTGGTCTTCTTGAGACAGGGTCTTGCTAGGCAGCTCAGGCTAGCTTTGAGCTCACTTTGTAGCCCAGGCTGGTCTCGAACTTGCAACAATCCTCCTGCCTCTGCCTCCCAACACCCTTAGTTTTTGCATGAATTTTCTAGGGGTGGGGTGCAGCTTACTAGCTAAGTGATAAAGTGCTTGCCTGGCATGTGAGAAGACCTAAATTTGATCCTCATATACACAAAAACAATTTTACACTGGAATTAAAAAGTTCTCTAGATAGAAATATAAAGAAACATGTAATTTCAACACATAATAAAGGTTGAGATTTTTAAAACATTCTCTTTCATAAAAGACTTTTAAATTTAGTGGCTTTTACACTTGAAGTATATCTCAACACACATGCCAAAATATAATCAGAAATACATGGTCTATATTAGGATTAAAATCAAATATGTAGCTGGAAAAGTAGGCTTATATTCCTAAGATTTTCAAATATATTTAAAGTTTTCTAATAATTGAATCAAGCACAGTATCAGTTTTTAAATTTAAATTAAAGGTTAAAAAAAAAAAAGCTCGATGTAGTGGCGTGTGCCTGTAATCCCAGCATTCAGGAGGCTGAGACAGGAGGATCACTGCTGGGATGCAGCTCAGTGCAAAGGCTCTGGGTTCAATTCCCAGTACTGGGCTGGGAGTGGGGTCCCTAGCTAAACAAAACAATTAAATGACATAAAAAATTGAGTTTCTCAGTCACATTGTAAGTACTCAAAAGTCATATGTGGCTATCAATCTCCATAGTGAGCTATAAAAATATATTAAAATCTCCATCATCACAGGGAGTACCATGGAATTCTTTTGCTAGAATGCACCTTTTGGATGCCAGAACAGAGGATCATTAGCAGGACAGTTTAGAAATTACTCAGTTCCTTTGATTTTTTTTTTTTTCTTGGTCTTTTTAAGACAGGGTCTTGCTATGCGGTTCAGGCTGGCCTTGAGCTCATTTTGTAGCCTGGGTTGGTCTTGAATTTGCAACAATCCTCCTGCCTCAGCCTCCTAAGTGCTAGGATTACAGGTGTGCACCACCACTCCTGGCTAGGCTGTCTTTAAACTAACTAGGTAGCCCAGGCTGGCCTTGAACTTGTGATGGTCTTCCTGCCTCAGCCTTCTAAGTGCTAGGATTACAGGCATGGGCCACCACGCCTGACCAGTTGATTCTTGTATTGAATAAATTTTAATAAAATTGTTATTTTTATGTTTCTTGTGATATTATCTTATGAAAATTAACAAAAAATGCAATTTTTGGTCATCCTGTATTAAAATAATTGGACTGGTAAGTGGTTAAAAAGTTTGTGTTAGAAGTGAAGCTTCAGGCTGGGAATGGTGGTATATGACTGTAATCCCAGCACTTGGGAGGCTGAGGCAGGAGGATTACTGAAAGTTCAAGGCCAGGCTAGGCTACATAGTGAGTTCAAGGCCATCTTGAACTTCATAGCAAGACTCTGTCTCAAAAAACAAAACAAAACAAAACAATACCCCACAAAACCCCCAAAACAACCCACAAACAAACAGAACTTCAATATATTAACCTACCTCTGGTTCTGTGTTTGATATCAGATTCAGTTTCATTCTCCTCTTTTTCTTTTTCATTAGTGGAAATGACATTTAATTCACGGCAAATGGAGCTACAAATGACAGAGTAAGAAAATTCTCCAGTTTGTTTCTGGTCAGCATTATCCAGTAAATGCTAGCATACGAATCCTATGAGATTTTCTGTGAAAAAACTGTGTGGCCTGGCTCAGCCTAAGCTCAGTGATAAAATGAGCACTTGCCTAGCATGCTAAGGCCCTAGATTCGATCCCCAGCACTACAAAGAAAAAGACTCCCCAAACTGCCAATTTGGGGTCTTTGAAAGACTACAGTTTCTTACTGTACTTTTCCATGCATGTTATTAAAGTCTGAGAACTCGTACAGTAAAGAAACTTTTCTTGGCAATGCCGGAATTGAACTCAGGGCTTTGCATATTCTAGGCAAGTGCTCCACCATGGGCAGCTTATCCTCAGCCCTAAATAGACTGTTAATATGTTTAAGCTGACATTTCCCAGACTTACAATTTTTGGTGCTGGGCACTGAACCCAGGGTCCTTAGCACTAAGCTGTACCCCTGGCCCTCCCAGACTTACTTGACTTTAAATCTTTCATAAAATAGCTGAGTTTTAAACTCTTATTACTTATTCTGGCATTACAATGAAATCTTAGGATCAAGTATCCACATGACCGAATGAGCATTCCTGTGCAGTGACCCTTCTAAGGAATCCAGCATAATGTGTTTCAAATTCAAATTCACAAGGAGTGACCAATAATCTGGAGCATACCTTATTTATTAATTTAATTTTTCCTCTGGTACCAGGAACCGAACTCACGACCTTGCGCTTGCCAGGCAGGCGCTTTGCCGCTGAGCTAAATCCCCAGCCCCTGGAGCATACCTTATTGTTGGAACCGTAAAGGGATCAAACCGATCCACTTTCTGCAAATCAATAGGCACAGAAATCCGACCTGTAAGAACCAGAAGTTATAAGCTGATGATTGTGAAATACTAATCATTATAGGCTGTCTTCTAATGAGTTATCTCTGGTTAAAATTTTACAGAGGGGTAGACTTATTTGTTAATAAGAATATTTAGAAAATATTTAGAAATATAAATTACTTTCACATTGGCTTTACCTCTTATTTATCTTAAGTAAAAAATGATGTGAAGAATGTTGAGCTATTTCTTAGTTGCTCTTATTTTTACTTTTACTTCTACATTGTTTTGGGGGGCGGTTACCAGGAACTGAACTCAGGACCTTGTGCTTGCCAGGTAGGCGCTGCGCTGCTGAGCTATATCCCCGGCCCCTATTTCTACATTGAGAAAGAAGATTACTTTAAAATTCCAAGCTGGGTGTGGTGGTGCAGGCCTGTAATCCTAGCATTGGAGAGGCTGACACAGGAGGACAGCCATGAGTTCAAGGCTAGTCTGGCTACAGAGTTAAGTGTAAGGCCAGCCTGAACTATATGGCAAGACCCTGTCTCAAAAAACAAAACAAAGTTCCATATTTAAATTCAGAAAAAAAAAATTCAGGAAATCCCCAAATTTACCAGTCCATAAAATGGAATGAAAGAGATGGAAATAATTCATTATATTGCTTGGTTTATTTGCTGAGTTCAAAACAGATACCTAGACGCTGGAAATTTATTCTTTTTTTCCATGCTGGACATGCTTTTCGTTTTTTCTTGAAAAAAGGTCGATGTCCTTCAGGCTGGCCTTGAACTCACCGTGGAGCCCGGCCAGGCCTCAGCTTGGTGGTGATCCTCTTGCCTCAGCCAGGGCTGGGATTACAAGCGTGCAGTACCATGACTGGCTATGCTGAACATCTTTACAAAGCATTTTGGAAATAACATACAGTCACGTGCCCATAATGACCTGTTGGTTAACAACGGGCTGTCTGTACAGTGTTGTCCAGTGACATCATAGCAGTCTGGTTTGTGTAAGTACTGCACATACTGTGATGTCTGTACAATGTTGGAACAAACCAAGGATGTACGTCTCGGAAGGTATTGCTGTTTAGTGATGCACAATCTTTGATAACATTATATTACCCTTGTCTAATATCCACACTTGGGGCAACATATTAAAACGTATCATATCTCACAAATGATATCATAAAGCCAGGGATGGTGGCACACACTTGTAATCCCAGCACTTCAGGAGGCTGAGGCAGGAGAATCACCATGGGTTCAAGGACAGCCTGAGCTACATAGTGAGACTCTGTCTCAAAAAAAAAAAATGAAGGAAAAAAGGACTCGGGGTGTAGCTCAGTGGTAGAGCCCTTGCCTAGGGTGTGCAAAGCCCTGGGTTCTGTCTCAAGCAGTGCAAAAAACAAAACAAAAAAGACACAATAAAGCTAAAGAATGCCAAGAACAAGTAATAAGGGAACTGGGACTTGTTTGAAGATAGAATAAAAAAAACTGCAGCTTCTTGACATGGAAAAGGACAGAATAAAAATGTACATACAAAAAAATGTATATACAGTACTGCTGGGTGTGGTGATGCACACCTGTAACCCCGGCATTCAGGAGGCTGAGACAGAAGGATCACCATGACTTCCAAGCAGCCTGAGCTACATAGTGAGTTCAAGGCCAGCTTGAACTATATGTGAAACCCTACCTGAAAAAACCAAGAAAGTACGTAAGTACTTATGAGCGAACATAACAATTTACCTAAACCTTAAACATTAGAACGAGAGGGCACTCACTGAGGTTTAAAATTAAGCTTAAAAGAAATATAAGCTTATTACCAAAAGAAGCTAAAAATAAATAGTTGACATGATTGAAGAGAAACCATACAAACGTATGAACTGCACAGTCCCTACAGGTTATTAAAGGAAACGGCAGTTTGGAAGAATTGAATAGATGCCATACTCTTTCAAGGACTTTACATTTTATTGTATTTTTTTTCTTTTGTTTTTCTGAGACAGTCTCTCTGTACAATTCAGGCTGGCTTCAAACTCATAGTGATCTTCATGCCTTAGCCATCCCAGGGCTGGGATTACAGGTGTATACCACCATGCACCATCTTTTTTGTGTTGTGTAGAGACATGGCCTGGCTATGTAATCTAGACTGGCCTTGAAGTTGTGGTGATCCTCCTGCTTCAGTCTCCTGAGTACTGGGATAATAGGCATGTGCCACCATGCCTGGTAGAACTTCGCATTTTAGACTGTCATCATAACCCATCAAGATGCTGGGCATGGTAGCACATGCCTCTAATCCCAACACTTGGGAGGCTGAGGCAGGAGGATTGTTGCGAGTCTGAGACCAGCCTGGGCTACAAAGTGAGCTCAAGGCCAGCCTGAATTGCATAGTGAGACCCTGTCTCACAAAACAAAACAAAACAAAACAAAACAAAACAAAACAAAACAAAACAAAACAAGATAACCCATTAAGATAGAAACATTTATCTCTACTTTAAATATAAAAAAATTGAGACATAGAGAGATTAATTTGTGTAAGGTTCCATAGCAAATGCTGGAGTTTGTTGACACTAAAGAGGATAATTATATACTTCTCTATTATGTTCCTTAGTTGGACAGAACACAGTGTACGCCAACACAGCTACTTTTATATAAATTTTAAGGTCAGTTTCAGTCTTTCAAATTATATCTAAGACAAACATAGACAAAGAAAGCTTAAAACTATTGAAAACAAAAACTTAAGGAAGCAGCATAGTAGAAAACACATAAAACTTTGAGTTTTAAGAACTGAAGTTACAGGGGCCCGGACTATAGCTCAGTGGCATAAGTGCCCGCCTGGCAAGTGCAAGGTCCTGAGTTTGATTCCTAGTACAAAAAAAAAAAAAAAAAAAGAACTGAAGTTACTAGGGAAGGAAATCCTGGGTAAAAAAACAAATTGAGAGGCATTACAATCCCAGACTTGAAGTTATACTACAAAGCTACTAAGATAAAAACAGCACAGTATTGGCATAAAAACAGACATGAGGATCAATGGAACAAAATAGAGGATGCAGAAACAACTCCAAACACACTCGGCCACCTTATCTTTGACAAAGGAACCAAATAACTTCATTGGAAGAAAGTCTCCTTAATAAATGATGTTCAGAAAACTTGCTATTCATATGCAGAAGATGGAATCTAGACATGTACCTCTCACCATGCACTAAACTAAAATCAAAATGGATCAAAGAACTAAATGTTAAACCAGGCTGGGCTTGTTCCTCAGAGGACTCACATCTAGAAACATAAAGAATTCAAACAATTTAAAGGACCCAATCAAAAAATGGGTAAGTGGGGCTGGGGATTTAGCTCAGTGACACAGTGCCTGCCTGGCAAGCGCACAGTTGTGAGTTCGATTCCTGGTACAGGAAAACAAAACAAAACAAAACAAAACAAAACAAAAAAACAGGGTAAGTGAAATGAATAGATGCCTCACAGTAGTACAAATGGTTAATAAATACATGAAGAAATATTCAGCATTGCTGGCCATTACAGAAATGTAAATTTAAACAACACTGAGATTCCATCTTACCCCAGAACAAATAGTCTCATCAAAAAATCCAGTAACAAAGGCTGGAGAGGCTGTAGGGGATGAAAAAGGAACCCTTCTACACTGTCGGTGGGAATGCAAACTCGTGCAGCCACTGTGGAAATCAGGGTGGAGATGCCTTAAAAAAAATTAAAACTACAAATTCCACTTAACCCAGCTATTCCCCTTCTAGACATCTTCCCAAAATAGTTAAAGGCATATTACAGAGATACATGCATTCCCGTGTTTACAGCAGTGCTATTCATAAGAGCCAAATCTTGGAAGTGGCCTATACGTCCATCAGCAGGTGAATGGATAAGGCAGATGCAGACTACTCTGCCATAAAGGAGACTTGAGTCATGTGTAGGAGAATGGATGCACCCTGAGACCACAATGTTAAGGGAAATGCATCAGACACACAGCTTAAATATTGTACTTTCTCTTATATGAGAAACGCAGAGTAAAAATAAAGATCCAAATAAAAGACAGATAATAGCAAACAGGGAGAGAAATGGTTGTCAGTGGTGAAGGGGATTAAGAGATGGAGGAAGGAAGGAGGAGGAAGGGAGAAAGGATTAAAAAAAAAAAAAAGGAGGGGCTGGGGATTTAGCTCAGCGGCAAAAGCGCCTGCCTGGCAAGCGCAAGGTCGTGAGTTTGGTTCCCGGTACCGGAGAAAAACCAAAAAAAAAAAAAAAAAAAAGGAATTGGCTGTGTTATGTACACGTGCCAGCTCCACACAAGAATGTAAACATATACTGCAGACATACAAAAAAAGTGATAAAAAAGAAATTAAGATGTGTTATACACATGTACTAACTTCTGATAAGTAATGTAAACATTATGTATCACACATATATACTAATAAACTAAAATAATAAAAAAAAAGTAAATTAAAAAAACCCTGAATTCAGCTGGATGTGGTCCATATGCTTGTAATCTCAGCACTCCAGGAGGCCAAGGCAGAAGGATTGCAAACTCAAGTCAAGCTAAGCCAGGCAACTTAGTGAGACCTAGTTTCAAAATAAAAAAAGGGCTGGGGATGTAGCTCAGTGCAAAGACCCTGCTTCAATCCCCGGTACTACAGGAGGAGCTGCAGGATGGGGACAGGGGGAAGAACTGAATTCTGCTCCCAGCACCGACACGATTTGTTTTATGACTCTGAACAAGTCACTTTCACCTCTGGGGCTACTGTCTTCTCATCTGTGCAATGGGAGTTTTCGCCCTGTGATTTCTAGGTCCTTACCAACTCTCTATTTTGTTTTCTGAGCCACGGGTCTCCCTATCTAGTGTGGGCTGGTCTTGAACTCATGGCGACCTTCCTACCTCAGCCTTCCAAGCGCTGGGATTACAGGGTGCTCCCCCACGCGCAGCTTTGGTTCTTACCAATTCTAATTTAAACATCAAACTTCTCAAATCCAACTGAAAAAAACATTAACAAAGCAGAAGCTTTAACTGACAACATAAAAGATAATTTAGGTATAGCTAGAAGAACAGTCTTCAGTCTTTAATACGACAGATGTATGTGTTCACACCTTAATGATGTGTCTGCTAACACAAAAAAACTTTTAGTTTTCCTTACATTCTCTACATTGTACCTGTTTTAGGGTGAACACTAAAAGGGCTCTTCAGTAAATGATTGATTCCTTTGCTAACATTGATGTCCAGCCGTGGAAAACAGTACTGCAGCATAATCTCCCACTCTAGCCAAGGTCCGCATTTGTCACTTTTGATATTCTAGAAGATATAAGGCCAGCATGAGAATCAGGAACTTTTGAGCATTTCTTCATTTTTAAAAATTTTATTAATGAAAGTTAAAAAAAAGCAAATGATTTATTTGAAGGTGAGGAAATGAGGAGCGGAAGGGAGACAGAGACAGTCTGGATGAGTAGGGAGTATTTGCAAGGGAAATTCTCTAAGTATTTCTTTAAAGCAGGTTAAAAAATGATCTGCAACCATCTTCAACTGATCGAACAAAACAATCAGCACTCAATTAAGAAATACATTATTATATCTGTAAATACAGATTTCAACGGAATATACCTGATTTGTGCTGATTACTCTTTTTAGATGCTCCCAACGCTGAAGTGAATTGTGAGACTTCTGGAACGCTGTCTGAAGGTCTTCATGAATTGGTGATATGACATTAAGGAATACATTCATTTAAGGCATATCAACAAACAACTTAGTTTTTAGTATGTATTACCACAAGGATATATAATGCTTCCATACACACACACCCATACACCCCCCCCCCACATTTATGGCTTTGTTTTTTGTTTTTGAGACAAGGTCTCACTATGTAGTTCTGGTTGACCTTGAATTCACTTTGTAGCCCAGGCGGGCCTCGAATTTGCAACAATCCTCCTGCCTCAGCCACCCGAGTGCTGGGATTACAGGGGTATGCCACCACGCCTGGCTGGTCTTGAGCTTGTGGCAATCCTGTCTTAGCCCTCCAAATGCTGGGATTATAGCCATGTGACACCATGCCCAGCCACATTTCTTATGGCATTCCAGATTAG